CCTGGCCTGGACCCCTGTGGTAACCAAATAAGGAAAGGCAGCTGCCATGTGAGGCAGGGAGGGGCCAGTACAGGAGGCCAAGGGCAGCTACTAAGTTTAGGGTGACTCCTTCTCTCTTCTTAGAGACAACAGGTGGCTAGCCTCCCCCCTACTTCCCAGAAAGGAAAATGTCTTAAAGGCATTGGCATGGGAATGGAGGAGAGGGGGAGGAGAAGGCACCTTGCTTGGGACATCAGGTCCTAGAGGGAGCAGGAGGAAAATGAAGTGGGTGTTACTGCCAACCTGGGGCTTCTTCAGCCACTACTTCCCCAGACTTCTACTGAATGGAGGGAACTGGGGGGCCCAGGAGAGTAGGGGAGAGCACCTTAAAGTCCACACAGTCAACCAAGCTGGTTCTTTCCCAGAATAAAGAGAAGTCTCTGGCCATCCCAGCCACTTAAGAGGAGGTGGTCAGCTCCCTCTTGCTGTCTTTGCCTCCCCTCCTCTGAGTTCCAGCCTCCATGCCAATACCCAGAAAAATTATTCTAGAGTCATACTATACCATGACTTTCTCCTGCTTCAAACCTTTCCAAAGTTCCCCAGAGCCTCTGCTCTCAACCTGGCATTGAAGGCTTTCTAGAGTTTGGTCACCAGCTATTTGCATTCTCTGCTCCAGCCTCATCACAGTTCAGGCAACCTGAACACTTCCAATCTTTCATTCTCCAGGCCTTTACTCATGCCATGCCCTCCTCTATTAGCATGCTGCCCCTCCTCTGCCTTCACTGACTCACTTCTACTGGCCTTAATTAACCCATATACGTAGACAAGGCTGCTGTGCCCTCTATTTCTTGGCTCTGACCAACTGATATGTCATTCTCTGCATTCATTTATGTCTCTATGGCTTGACTGTAAGTTGCACCAAGACAAGGCATAATTATTAATTATAATGCAAGTTCTGACTCGGTGCCTATGGCTCAAGTGGCTAAGGCGCCAGCCACATACATACACCTGAGCTGGCAGGTTCGAATCCAGCCCAGGCCTGCCAAACAACAATGATGGCTGCAACCAAAAAATAGCTGGGCGTTGTGACAGGTGCCTGTAGTCCCAGTTACTTGGGAGGCAGAGGCAGGAGAATCGTTTGAACCCAGGAGTAGGAGGTTGCTGTGAGCTGTGATGCCACAGCATTCTACCCAGGGCAACAGCTTGAGGCTCTGTCTCAAAAAAAAAAAAATTATAATGCAAGTTCTGTGGAATGGAAATTACATCTTTACTTTATAGAATGGAAACCAAAGCCCAAGGGGGTTGAAGCATAAAGCCTGAGATCACAGAGCATCTTTCCTCACAAAATCCTTCTTCTCTTTGAAAAGGATATAGGAGACCCTTTGATCCCTCAGCTTCCACAGATAGCTCTCTCCCACCTTTAAGCTTTGCCACTACTTCCACACATAGACACACTTGACTGTGAACTCTACCATGTGGGGGGGGGGGATGTGTTTGCCAAAATATACTCACAAAACCCAACCAGCATCTGGCTTACTGTAAGTGTTCAATAAATGCTCACTAGGTTTAAATCTGGGCCCTCACCACTCAGGAGCACATGGGCCTCATTCATCTCTCTTCTAGAACTGTGCCTTGGCTTGGGTCCCCTCTGAACCCTGATATATTTCAGCCCCCTTTTGGGAGAAGGAATATCCCTTCCTGTCTAGGACCTAGTAAAATACACATCCTGAGACCCATGCCCTCCCCCACCCCACCCCAACTCCAGCTGCTTTGGGCCCTCCAAGAAAGGAGAGGCCCTGAGCCGGGCTATTTTGGTATCTGGGGTGGGCACTTGCAAGGCTAAGGTTACCCTGGTATGTTAAGGGCTCCCTGGGGCAAGACTATATAACCCCAGAGGGACTGCCCCAGGCTGACTCTCTGCTTCTTTCCAGCCGGAGCCACTGCCTTGCCCCCAGGAGACCGAAGACATGGTAAGTAAGACACCTCCAACCCCTGCCCAGATGCCTTAAACCTCAGGGAGGCTTCATCCTCTGAAAGAAAGTAGCTGACTCCCAATCCAACAAAACAAAAATGTGGCTCCTCACTTTCTTGGTATCACTAATCAGGATAGCAACAGAGTGATGTCCTAAAGGACCCAATGAAATGTAATCTGCCTAGACTCTCCACTCACAGTAGGGCAGTCTCTCTCAAAACCTACTTCATCCCTTCCTATACTTCAACTTTCTAAAGTCCTCTGGGACCAGATGGATAAGGATTCTCACTCCATTTTATAAATGAGAAAGTAGAGGTTCAAAGAGGGCAGATGAGTAGGTCAGGGTCACACAGCAGGTATAGAGCTCAAAAGAGGCAAGCCCAGGGCACTAAAAAGTGAAGAAAGTGTCCACTTGTTGGGTAAGAAGAAGGGATAGGGATACAGGAGCTACCGGATAGGGATACAGAAGCTACCGGATAGGAATTTTGGAAATGCAGCCAAAACACCACCCTCCCTCAGCAAAGAAGTCCCAAGGAGTAGGAGGCCCAGGCCAGGAAAGTTGCTTTAGAAGGGACTTAAAAGCCTGGACAAATAATGAGAGCCTATCTCTACAAAAAACTTTAAAAATTGGCTGGGCATGGTGGCACAGGCCTGTAGTCCCAGCTACCCAGGAAGCTGGGGAAGGAGGATTGTTTAAAGCCAGGAGTTTGAGGTTACAGTGAGGTCCACTGTACTATAGCCTGGGTGACAGAACAAGACCCTGTCTCTAAAAAAATAAAATTTCATAAAGACAGGAGAAGGGACTTACAGAAAGCTGAATCTAATCCATTGCCCCCAGAGAGGTATAGGGACTGGCCCATGGACCCCTTTGCCCAACTCTCAACCCCTAGGCACCCAAGAAGGCCAAGAGAAGGGCAGCAGAGGGCAGCTCCAATGTTTTCTCCATGTTCGACCAGACTCAGATCCAGGAGTTCAAGGAGGTGAGTGCAAAGACACTGAAGTGCAACACTGAAGGTTGACCAAAGACACCCCCTCTGCCTCTCCTCCCAGCCCCCTCCCTGGAATGTGCACCTGTTTGGAGGGAGGGAAAGGGTTTAGAATTCCTTCCTCCCCTTCCTGCTAGGGTAGAAGAGGACAGCTGGCTGGGGGCCAGAATCTGATCTGCCTGGGGTAGGGATGCTGAGGACTGGCCATAAGGGACGTAACCCCTCCCCAACCCTGCCCTCCACAGGCCTTCACAGTAATTGACCAGAACCGTGATGGCATTATTGACAAAGAGGACCTTCGGGACACCTTCGCAGCCATGGGTGAGCCCCCTACCTCTATCAAGGCTGCAAAGTCCAGGGAATTCAGTGGCCTTGGGTTCTGGCCCTAACAGCTTCATCTTGGGCCTCAGGCTGCCCAGCTGAAAAATGGAGGGAATGATTTGAATTTATGGTAAGCACAGCCCTGGCCCAGGAGTCTGCTCTAGCCCGTGCTTTTCCTAACCTCCTCCAGGTCGCCTCAATGTGAAGAATGAGGAGATAGATGCCATGATGAAAGAAGCTAGTGGTCCCATCAACTTCACTGTCTTTCTGACCATGTTTGGGGAGAAGCTCAAGGGTCAGTCAAGTGTCCTGGGTCCAAGCCCTCAGCTGCCTCTTCCCAGATCCTTCAGGGACCCTTCAGCCTCACATGCCCTCTGACCTCCCAGGTGCCGACCCTGAAGATGTGATCACTGGAGCCTTCAAGGTCCTGGACCCTGATGGGAAGGGCACCATCAAGAAGCAGTTGTAAGTGTCCCACCAGCTGCTCCCACAGGAGCCTCCTTAAACTCCTACCAAGCGTTAGGTAATTCCAGAGGTGAGAGAGAAGTTAGGAAACTAGGAGTAGGATTGCATTTTCACACATATGTGGAGGAAGGGCAAAAGTAGAGAAGCCAGAGAGCTTAGAAAGCCAGTGACAGGCCAGGCTGGGCACAGTGGCTCACGCCTATAATCCTAAGCACTCTGGGAGGCCGAGGCAGATGGATTGCCTGAGCTCACAGGTTAGAGACCAGCCTGAGAAAGAACGAGACCCTGTCTCTAAAAAGTAGCCCAGCATTATGGCGAAAGCCTGTAGTCCCAGCTACTCGGGAGGTTGAGGCAAGAGAATCGCTTAAGCCCAAGCCTTTCAGGTTTCTGTGAGCTCTGAAGCCAGGGCACTCTACCAAGGGTGACAAAATAAGACTCTGTCTCCAAAAAAAAAAAAAGGAAGGAAAGAAAGAAAGAAGAGAACAAAAGAGAAAGAAAAGAAAAAAGAAAGAAAGCCGAGTGGCGCCTGTAGCTCAAAGGAGTAGGGTGCAGGTCCTACATATCGGAGGTGGTGGGTTCAAACTCGCCCCGGTCAAAACTCCAAATAAAAAAAGAAAAAACAAAAGAAAGCCAATGAGGGTTCTAGAGTGGCCCTGGTCTCTAGGGGACACTAAGAGTAGCAATGGGGATGAGGTGGGAAGGAGTGGAAAGGAATCATGAATCCAATCTCAACTCCCCATGTCTCGGTCTCCTCCCTTCAGCCTGGAGGAGCTGCTTACCACGCAGTGCGATCGTTTTACCAAGGAGGAGGTGAGTGGGGGAGGGCCTGGGAGGAGAGAAAAGGAGAGGATGAGGAGCAGAACTTAAGGGCCAGTAGGCAAAGTCCCTGTGTCTACTTTCAGATCAAGAACATGTGGGCGGCCTTCCCTCCCGATGTCGGCGGCAACGTAGACTACAAAAACATCTGCTACGTTATCACCCATGGCGACGCCAAGGACCAGGAATAGGGGGCCCTCTTAGACGCCTACTGGCCAATGCTTCCAGCCAGTCCGCCCCACCCCGACTCCCAATAAAATTCAGCTGGTCTTTGTTTCTTATGGGTGCGCGCCCACAGTATGTCTGTGTGAGAGGGCCCCAGGCCGGAGACTGGGCTGAAACACTGCAGGCACGCAGCGGCCCAGCAAGCGAATAAACAGTGGCCCGCCGGCCTGTGTGCGGCGGCTCCACGCGTTATGCTCGCCGCTTGTTTCCCTTAGGAAAGAAAAGACTCTCCAGGCTTCAAGGAAACTCAGTTTTTATTGAAAATTTGGGCTTAAGGAAGCGACGCCCGAGGACTAATAGGAGAGGTCAGAGGCTCCCACGCGTGAAGTGGGCGGAAGACGGGCTGGGGGCGGGGCCAGGGACCTGCTACAACTCCCGCCACTAGGAGAACATCCTGGGCGGAGAATACACGTAAAGCCAAAGCAAAGGTGGGCCCTGCAGCTGGCGCTCCAGGCTTAGGCGTTGGGCGGTCTGAGGCGCGGGGATTGGACAGGAGACGAACTGAGGGCGGAGCCGAGGTGAGGCGGGACCCGGCAGGGGCCTCAGAGAGCGTCCGACTGCTCGCCCTGAGCCTGACTCTGCTGCATCTGGGCCTGCATCTTCTCCAGCATCTCCTGCATTCGGCGCAGCTGTGGGGGGCAAAATTGCAGGCGATGGGACAAGGAGAGGCCAGAGAAGAACCTCGAAAAGCCGTTGGGCAGGGGAAAGCGAAGGTTACTCACCTCTTCGTCTTTCTCGCGGATCAGCTTCTCCGTCTCGGCCAGGGGCAGCATGGGCAGCGGGATCTCTGTAGCGCTCTGGCGGGAAAGCTTACTGGGAGGTAGTGCGAAGGGAAGAGAGATCAAGAAAGGGACCTGGGGTCGTGGGTAAGGGCCGAGAGTCAGGGCCTGGGACGAGGATGGTGTCTAGGAAGCGGAGTCATGGTCTTGAGGTTAGGGATGTAGACAAAACCGGTGAAGAGTCTGGGAGAGAGGTCTGGGTGGTGAAGGCGAGGTCACGGAGGGTGAGAACAGAGACACGGGAGGCGGGGTCATGGTGAGGGCGGGGCCTTGGAAGCACCCGGAGAATTGGCTGCTACTCTCACCTGCGGCTGGCTCGATCGCGAGCCCCAGGCCTAGCCAGGCTCTGTAGGCAGCGAGCCCGGTAGCCCTCGTACAGCAGATCATGCGTCACTTCTTTCAAGTCCTGCAGGTGTGTCTGCACCAGCATCCGTCGCAGGTTCAGGAAATCGCAGTGATGTGGGTTCTCCACTGGGGGACGGACCAAGGAACGTCAGGGAGTTTAGGGTCCAACCCCACCCTCATAGTCCGGTCTGCGAGGAGTCCCGCAGTCACTCTATCGGATCGCTCCCAGTATTAGAGCCCACCCCAACTCCACATGCTGGAGGTGGTTGACTTGGAGGAGCCTGAGTTCCTTGCTGTTCTTACCTTCCACAGTACCCCAGGAGTAGCAGCGTCCCCTCACTGGTCGGGTCCCACCATTCCTCACTACCTCACAGGAACCGACAACTGCGAAAGGGATGCTTTCCTAGAGGTCAGGGGTCAGTGGTCACTGTTGGCACCTCATGGACAGAAACCTCTTTCTCAGCTTCACCCTCCACATCTGCTTCCTCTGCTTCTCTGCCCCTTCCTCTTTTCCCTCTCACACCTTCATCTCTGCATCCTGCCTCTTGAAGTCTTCATCTTCATCAGAGTCACATTCGGGGAACTGATAGATGTTAATCTCCTCTTCTTTCAACTGGTCCCGGATCTCAGAGGAGAGAGATACAGAGACAGTGTGAAACACAGAGGCCATGATGACAGACACAAGACCAGAGACAGTGAGATTACAGAGAGACTGGTGGTCAGAGACAGAGAGGAAGACATAAAAGATAGACATGAAGATGACTGAAAATAAAATCTTAGAAACATAGATGGTAAATAACTAGGACAAAATTCGATGTCTGTGGGCAGACATTATGACACCAGGAGAGACAACAGCAGAAACAGTGGGAGAAGGCTCTGAAGACACTGCAGTGGAGGATCATCAGTATCTTGGGGCCAAAGGGAGGCTATCATGTTCTTTTTTAAAAAAAAAGAAAAACCATAACTCATTTTATTAGGGAAGCCATTGTATGAGTGTTAACGTTATTTGGGAGTTAAACTTAGGGCTACCATGTTCTTATGTTTATGCCCCTGCCCTCAAGATAGGCCTCAGCCCAGAGTCTAGCCCAGGGGCTACACATGCATCCTATTCTGAGCCTTCAGAGACATGGCTACCTCTGGCAGCTTGCTACCTGCCTTCCACAGAAGATTTTCTCCCACAGTTTAGCCTGGCACATCATGCTTCCAAAAGGCCACCCCAAGATCAAAGTCAAAGATGAAATCAAGTTTGGTCAGAACTTTTGGCCTCACTTAGGATCGAAGGTCAGAGGTCACCACCCACACCTTCTGCTTGAGGGCTTGGGTTTCCTTAGGCATCAGGGCATCTGCTTTGCCGATGACTGGGATGATGTTGACTTTCTCATGTACTGCCCGGAGGAAGGCCACATCTAGGGGCCGGAGCCTGCATCCAGGGATTGGTCAGCACCTAGTCACAGGGTGCAGAGACCCCCCACCAGCCTTCTCCAAATGCTCCAACCCCCAGGGGCCACCCTATACCCCCGGCCGAAAGGTGAAATGAAGTAGAGGCAGCAGTGGACTCGGGAATCCTGGATGTTCTTCCGGTTCAGGCCACTCTCATCCCTAAGGTACTGCTCAAATTGCTCCTCGATGAAGTGAACCACAGGCAGCCAGCTGGAGTGTGGGGAGAGGAGGAGCAGTCAGAGATGAGAGCTGCAAGGAAGGGGGCAAGGCTAGCCAGGACTGTGGGAGTAGGAAGTAGTTTCTTTGGTCCCAACCAAAAACATCAAGGGAGACTTGTAGGGGCATAGGTGAAACATCAAGAAGCACAGAGTATCTTGGAAGCAGAATACCATCTTTTGGGTCAGAGAGCCAAGACAGACCAGCCCTGTAACTAACCCTTGATCTCCACAGAGTAGCCACTTTGAGAGACTTAGCCTCCATCCCCTCCCATTCTCACCAATCTGAGCAGTCCACTGAGTCCCCAAAACCAGGCGTGTCCACCAGGGTGAGCTTCACCTTGATACCCCCCTCCTCAATCTCCACGCCCCGGCGCTCAATGGTCAGCGTTTGTGTCAAGCGAGCTACAGGGATGGGGAGAGGTCAGGGAGCTAGGAAGGGGTCTGAGGCAGGACTAATTTCCTTTCTTAATATCACAGTTACCCCCACCCATGTTTCAGGGTCGGAACAGTTCCAAAGAAAAGCAGTGAGCTGCCTAAGTCCCTAGATAGAAAGGACTCGTACAGACTGGGGACATGGGGAGGGGCAGAGAGCACTGCCTGCAAGAGGGTTGGGAAGTTCTTACCACTGGCCTCTGGCACCTGCCGATCCTCATAGAGGTTGGTGAGGAACAGGCTGTTGATGAGGGTGGATTTCCCTAAGCCTGACTCCCCTGTGGACAGAACAACTCCAACAGGTCAGGTGAGGGGACTGCCAGGGTCTCTTGAGCATACCCTTTCCCCAGTTCCCTCTCCAAAACCTCCAGACCTGCCACCATGAGTGTGAAGTCAAACCCCTTCTTGACAGACTTGCGGTGGAGCTGGTTGGGGAGGGCAGCGAAACCCACATACTCCTTGTCCTGTTGGTGGGGGGTGGACAATATGAGGTTGTTAGAAGTGGCAGGCAGGGCCCCCCAGCATCACTTTTCCTAGTTCAGGGGATGGGAAAAGTCAGCCTACTTTGAGTTGACCTGGGGACCTCGGGTAAAGGGGTCTGGGGGCCAAGATACCTGGGTTCCTGAGGGTAAGGACTTACCATGGCTCCGCTAGCTGTCACTGCACCTGCTATGCTGCCCACTTCCTCTGGTAGGACAGGAAGTTCAGTGCAGCAAACAAGGGGGCGGGCAGTATAGGAAGCTGAGATGCTAGACAGGCACAGAAAGGTGGGGAAAGCCAAGACTAAGAATATCTAGGGCTCCCACCTCCTGGATCCCTTTGCCCATGCCTATCGATCCCTAAAGATAGCTTCAATCCCATCATTCTCCACACACCTCTATTCCAAGCCCCTCTGTAGCCCATTGTCATGGTGGGAAGTAAGGACAGAGAGGAAGGAAGCAGACTTTTCTCTTTAGCATGTGAGACAGAGGCTTTAATGAGATGGTTAAAAAAAAAAAAAAAAGTTCCTAAGCTCTGAGTGGACCAAATACCATAATGAGATTTGGGTGTGGTAGGGGTCATCAATTTTCCAGTTCATACAAAGGATTCACTGGATTTTTTTTTTTTTTTTTTGAGACAGAGTCTCACCCTGTGCCCTGGGTAGAGTGCCATAGCATCATAACTCACAGCAACTTCAAACTCTTGGGCTCAAGAGATCCTGTTGCCTCAGCCTCCCAAGTAGCTGAGACTACAGATGTCCACCACAATGCCCAGCTAATTTTTCTATTTTTAGTAGAGACAGGGTCTTGCTCTTGCTCAGGCTGGTCTCTAACTCCTGAGCTCAAGCAGTCCACCTGCTTTCATCTCCCAAGAGTGCTAGAATTACAGGCATGAGCCACTGTGCCCAGCCTGAGTCACTGAATCCTTAAAAGGACTCCAGGTCTTTGGAAATCACTGCCAGAAACAGAATCTTGTCTAGGAACTCCCTGCTCAAAACCCTTTAGAGACTCTCTAGTAACTTAGAATCAAATTCTGAGTTCTTGACTGACAGCCAAAGCCTTCCCCAGTTGGCCTCATCACTCCATCTCTCACTGGTCTAAACATCCTTAGCTCTTTGCCCACATCGAGCTTTTGTTTTTCTGTGCCTAGTGAACTCCTCTTCATCCTTCAAGGGTTTGATTCAAAGAGCCTCCTCTGTGAAATCTTCCCCAACTACCCTAGGCAAAATAATTCTACCTCTAGACTCCAAAGCACCTTTTGCAGGCCCCTCCAATGCCCACATTTGCTCAGCTGGCTGTCTTCTACTGGCTGAACTCTCTGAGGACAAGCACCATATCTTCTTAATTTCTGTATCCCCAGTGTCTTCTACAGGCCCTGGCCCAAAGAAGGTACCAGTAAATTATATGGTAGATGCATGAGTACATGAAAGAATGAGTAAACAAATCAAGTTGGAGACAAAGGGTCAGAGGTGCAGAACATGTGAAAAATAGCATAGCTTTGGGAGTCAGAAATAACTCACCAAACCTCAGCTCTACCACTTACTGTGTCCTCTGGGCAAGTCATTTGACCTCTCTGAGCTCTGCTTTTCTCCTGGTAAAATGAAATGCATGTATTTCAGCTTTGTTAACAGGACTTAGAGTGTTCTGGTTTTATATATATACAAACCTGGCTTTAGCATTTATTAGCTGGATAATCTTGGGCATGCAAATTAACCTCTCAGAGGCTCCTTACCATGGCCTACAAGTCCCTGCTTGCTCTGGGTCCTGCTCACCTCTCCAACCTCATTTTCTTGTCTTTTTTTTTTTTTTTAGTCTTTAGCTGGGGCTGGGTTTGAACCTGCCACCTCTGGCGTATGGGGCCAGTGCCCTACTCCTTTGAGCCACAGGTACGGCCCTCCAACCTCATTTTCTTTTGTCTTTTCTTTTTATTTTTTTGAGATAGAGTCTCACTATGTCACCCTGGGTAGAGTGCTATGGCATCACAGCTCACAGCAACCTCAAATTCTTGGGCTTAAGTGATTCTCTTGCCTCAGCCTCCCA